ATTTGGTCAGACATCTTCAACAGACGCTGTCAGTCAGAGGCGTTAAGAAACTGACAATTCTTCATAAATGCTTGTTAGAATGGGGCCTACCCTGACATAACCACAGTACTACATACAGTACATTCACTTACTCCAAGAGCTAGACTTTTGAATTAACATGGTCCAATTTCCAAAGACAACAAAGGATAAAAGTGGTGTTATTATTACTATAATTGTTATGTTATTTATATATATATTAAAAAAGGATCTATGATAATATATGATCATGCTCAGCTCCTTAAACATCCTTTAAACCTATAAAATCTGATTCATCTTTTAAAGTTTAACAACCGTAGCACAATTAGTGAGTCATTGCCTCACTGCACCCTGGGTGCACGTGTAAATAAAAATGAAATACATAAACCTTTGTAGTATCCAGTAAAGAGTGTCTACATAAATCCAGACAAAAACAAAGGGTATTACCACAAACAGTTGTTTGTTCTCTGAGCACTGGGTGTTGGTGCCCAGTGCTTCCAGGCACCACAGGCACCATTGTTTTAACCATGAAAAGAAGCCAAGGGACAAAGACATAAATAAATAAACTGAAAAAAAAAAGGTCACACTTTATGGGTACAATCCAGAAGTGATACTGTACTAAACTAAGGGCTTTAGTTTTAAAAATGGGATAAGGGATGGGGTTACATCATCAGTTTGAATGAAATTTATCAACACCTTATGCGCATCCTTGGGACCTAACAAATGTGTAGAGTGCGTTTCCTTCCTCATAATACATTTGCAACACTTTAATATTTTAAATGTGCGCTGTTTAAATCAACATTTGCTACCTTGCAGTCTTGTTCTTCACTGCTTTTGGCAGGCGCATCAATATGCTTCTTTGAGCATTACTAAGACCAAATGTCAGTCAGCGAAATATTGTGAAACAGGCACCGAGACTTAGATTGTGATCTTTAACATGTATGTAGATGTGCATGACGCAAACTAATCAGGGACCCACAACATTGGTCCATTTGACTTTTCTTGAAAGGGTCGTATGGGTCATTTTGGAACGGCATTAATATTAAAATGTTATGTCTTTAAGAATGAGGCCTTGTCTGAATTAAATATGCATGCAACACGGTTTATTTGTCACTTCAGTATTAATCAGTTATCAACACCAAACTATTCAAGGGAGATATTGCAGTACAAAATAAAATACCAAATACAATAAAATAAGCTACCAGGTAAGATAAAAATATGTCTTTTACATTGATGCTTCCCAAATATGTCTTCAGAGCGTATCAGCTCATTCAGTAGTATTTCAGGCATAGTGATGTGCCACTTATGTACACAATAATGTATATTTGCTGCCTTGCACAGCCATTAGACTTATTATGAAAAAAAAGGCAAAGACATGCTAGAAGACATAACAATGGTTCCCATGGTTATGCATTGTAGCCATTTCTATTCAGTACAAAGGAGGGGACCTCTAATGGGGCTCTTTAGACTTGACCACTCAACTTTAAGTTGCCTGTGAGAAGGAGAATTCACTTCTTCCCTCTCATGTGTATAATGACTCTTGAGACCACAAAGTGTAGGTGACTAAGGAGAGAATAAGCCTCTTTCTTCTTACTTTATCACTAGTCTGGTGTGCACATTTATTGGTTCATATAACTGGGTTCTTTAATGGGCAATCCCAAGATTGAGATAAAGAGTGCACTGACCCATAGCTTAAAACTAAATGGCATCAAGGTTAAATATAATATGGTGATAACTCAGAGGTAGGAAAGAGGTTAAAAATGAGTGAAAGGTGATACATATAAAGAGAATGAGGAAAAAGGTAAGGTGATGCAATACCATGAGATTCAGAAGGATGCTGTGGTTGAAAGTAATACTGTGATTATTTCTGTGGCAATTTTTTTCAACTATTGTCCAATTTTAGCCACCTGGTGCACCTGACACGGTTGCATTCTTCCTAGCTTAGACACACTTAATTACATTTTGCCATCATATAATGTTTCAGCCAAATATTATATTTCCAATTTCCAAAATTAGTGTCTCATCATGAATCACCACACAGAGAGGGCGTATACGATATTGCAACTCTAACCATTCACATCTGATATTCCTCTGCACAGTAAAGCTAAATTATTAAAACTGAGGGTTTGGTTTGTATCAGTGCTGACACACAAAAACGGATTTGTTCTGTAATTATTAGACAAAAGGACTGGACAATAAGGACGGGCTCTGTTCTAACTTTTTATAAAGAATCTTCATATGATTTATAAAGCTGTAGGTTCAATAGATGTCTGCTAAATTGACCATAATCAAGAGGAAAAACGATCAGGAATTTGACTGTGAGAAACGAAAAGTATAATTTTACACAACTGGAGCGACTACTTGGCAATGTTTTATGCATACAGGGTTTGAGTAAAAGAGCGGATTATCTTACTAATTATATCTTTGAAATGCAATTGGCAAAGTGATCACAGTTAGCTGCATCCCTCAGAGCTTGAGATAAGATAAGAGATTTGAGGGAGAAGCCATTTATATTTAGACTTGGACAGCAGGGGTGCTTAACTTTTATTTTGGGAAGCACATCCAAAACACTGAAATCATCCATTAGAGGCATTTATTTTCCTTTCCATAATGCATTTTTGTAGCTGGAAATTTAATGTGACTTTAAAATTATATTTTCTTATAGTTGCAGGCTTTATAATAATAATAATAATAATAATAATAATAATAATAATAATAATAATAATAATAACAATATTGTTGTTGTTAAGATTAATACCAAAATAAAATAAAGCCCTGAAAGAAAGGCTTCATAAATCTTTCCTAAATAGCATTTCTGTACATGCTAGTTTCTGAAAGTGCTTCTTGTTTCAAATAAGCTACCTGAAAAGTTATCTGTTTGCTGTGCTTGTGCTTCTAGATAAATCTGAGCAATACATATGATCATCTTTCCCCCTCATTTACCTGAGTGATTACGAAGAACATTATATTTGGGTTAAATTTGGCTTGCAATTACCATATATATGACCATGATGGTCTTGGGGTCGTGTGAATAACTCGGATGCTTTACATTCAGGGAGCTAATTCAGAAGATTCATTTTTTTAACAAGTCCCCTGGAATCTGCATCTTGTTATCACATTTGATCCATCTACCCATTATGGAAAAAGCATATTCTTTCTTATTTTTGTCTTATTTTGCATGCAGTGGTGCTTGGGGAAGTAAATAAGGCTGTGAGAAAATGTCTTCAAGTTCAGGCTGGAGGACAAAACACATTATGGCAACTAGTGTGTTTTTCGGTTGTAAACCCATCATATTGCCTGTGGGAACATGCCAATTTAGATTTTTTTTGACTGCCAGCCTAAGGGTGGTCCGGAGCTGAAATATCTTCTGGCTATGTGTACAAAGTCAAACTTATTATGCAATGTGTAAGCTTCCAGTATGATACTGTATGTGGATCAGTTGGCTAAGCCACAGTGAAAACTCAGCGTCCTGTGTTTGAATCTGGCTCGTCACATTTGAAGCATTTTCATAATTTTTCCTATATTCTTCAGCAAAAAGTGAAACTTCTTCTTATTTAACTTCACTCCAGGTTGTCAGGTTTTCACTCATTTCTTTTTATCCCAACAGTGTATTTCCCACACATATAAGGCGTATGCATTGTTTTTGATACAGAGTGATAATTTCTCATACAAGAAAACTATAATTGGAAGAGTTGTATATATGGTAGTTTGACAGATTCCAGCTGGCAGTCACACCCTGCTTGCACATTAATGAAGACTGTGAGGAATCATGTTATTTTTATGATGTTACAATGTGTTTTGCCTTTTCAATTATCAAATGTTCCCGCATATGTTTGCTGGGGAAGTTTGGTGACTGTGGATATTAGATACTGCCATAGCTTTGATGCAAGTTTTGGGTCACTATTCTGCTGAAAAATCCACTTAAGCCAGATGAGATGAAATACCTGTTCAGAACAAAGCTGTGCTTCTCTTTGGTCAGTGTAGAATTGATCAGGTCACCAACCCTGGACTAACAACTGACAAATTCACAAACCTGAATACAGCCTTTACTGACTTACATGCTGTTCGATTCATTTCTCTTACAACCGCCTCATCCTATTAACTATCCAATAAGAATCGGGTTTACAAATGAAAAACTGACTGACTTTGTCATCAAAGAAGTTCTTTGTTCATTTGGCTATATGAATGTCTTAGGAAATGGTTCAGTAAGTGTACAGGTCCTTCACTGTGGTCACTTTAAATTGCCCTAACATAGCTTTGGAAGAAAGTCATTTGTTTTCTGAAAAATTCTGTAGTCTGCTTTGTCCTGCCCTCTGACGTAGCTGCAGTTTTGCTGTGGGAGAGTGTTTCAACACCCTGGAGAACAACTTGACCCCAAACTGCTTCACTGAGCTGTCCTGACATTGTTGCAAACAGGCAGATGAATAATCCTGGACACCAGGGTGTTGCAGTTTCACAGTATAATCATACAGGATCTTTGAATAGTGAAATATATTTGTACAAATGAATAGAGAACTATTTATTTATTAACTTGCTGAAAGGGTTCTGTCATGTTTTATATTTTAATGCGTGTATTATCTTGACATAATGATAAATGTAACTGATTTTAAATTATAGATATTGATTAATGTTAATGCATCAAATTCACATTAAACATTCATATCCAGGAGGAGCAGTTTAGTATTTATTATTTTTAGTATTATGACTTTCCACACACTTTATACACGTCACAGCCCTAATGGTAATTTAAAGACCTTTTGTAACATTTAAACTTGATTGCATAAAATGACTAACTCAATTCTTATTTGCATGCTAAGAAATTCAGTCTCTGAAGGGAGCCTGCCCAACATTTCCATAAAGTAATTTCATTCACATGAAGCATGTCAGCAAACCACAAACCATGTGTAAAAAGCATGTAAAAGAGTGTGTGAAAACTGTTAATCAGGCATGGAAATGAGCAAATGAAACCAGTGAACCTCTCTTACCTCCCAGGGTGGCTGATATGAGAATGTGGGTTCCATATTTCTTAATGATGGTGTCAATAAACTGCTGAGTAGTGGGTCTGCGGCCCAGCAAGCGTACACTGCGCTGGAACTCAGGCATGAGTGGCACCGGGTTCCGGATCAGGTCCCTTCTTTCAATTGCTGTGTTCCTCACCTTCCAACGTGCAAATTCCCTGACAATCAGAGAAAAAAAAACTACTCACACCAAAATAACTTAGTATATACAACCACATTATCAACAATAACAGTAAAATGGCATTAATTACAGTGTGGTAACACATTCATTAGCTTGACTCCATCTCACCAAAAGCATTTGTGGGAAAACATTACACATCTGGTAGTGCACACTGTGGTCTAAATTGTCAGATAATTAGGACAATAACAAAGACTGGAGTATTGTAATAATTTCTAAAGCAGTTCTGTGTTTACAGATTTGAAAATTCACATTAAAGTTAAGATTTTAAGACAGTTAAGCATAATAACACATCTTTAATGAGTCTGGTGATGCAGAAGTGTTGTTGTTGTGTTTATTTATTCACTCTGACATAAATGTCAAAAATCACTTAAAAAACAAATAAAACAAAACAAACTTTTTTGTTTTGGACTGTTAAAGTTACACTTCAGAAAGTAAATATTTGGTAGAATATTTGTATGGATGTTCGGGATGTTTGCTTCTGTATCCGCTGAGACACACGTCAGGAAAAGAACTACACATACAGACATTACATGCATCTCTGTTATTCTGAGGGTTACAGAAAAAGCAAACAACCCTGCCCTGAGGATAAAAACACCAGATTTCCTTCAGCTGTCTGAAATGCAAAAGAAATCACTCTATTATTGAGTCAGTGGCTAATACCTAGCATATCCAGGACCCAGGCATTCGTGTAGGTAGGTTTCTTAGTGTCATAGAATTGTGAGAATAGAGACTTTCAATTCAAATTTATATTTTGTTATTGTTGTAAAACAAGCTGTTCATAGATGTATGTCTAATGCACACCAAAGGAGGATTCATGATGTATTGGTTCACTCTAAAGGAGGTGTCATTTTAATGCAAATGTAATGGGGCGCTATGATTTTCATCCTCATCCTCATCTGTTCTGTCTGTCACTCACAAAAATATTTCTATTTACATACGGATTGCGCACTTTCTCAAGTACCTCTATCAAACATACATGTATATGTTTGTTGATCCATCATCAGCACTGGATGTGTGACACATGCGCTCACACTTGTACCTAAAAGGTGTGAGTCTGCATACATACACATACAGATTGCGTAAGTATAGAGAAGTCTACACTCTCCACCCTGCTGAGATGAGCTGAGAATGTTTTGGTCTATGCTTACTGACTGGTAGCTTTAAAAGCATTTCCTCAGAATTTGATTTTGATTGAATTTAGATATTGACATGAATGATGATCCCAATTACAATAAGTGTGTAACTTAAAGTGCAACAAAAAGTCCATTCAATCAAGCACAAATAAAAGGCTTCATTGTCTCAATAATGCAACCCTAAAAGCCTGCTCTAATTGAAATCTGAGTACTGTTCAATAAAATGCACATATGGAGATAAATAAATAAAAAATGTGAACCATCAGCAATGAAAGAACTGCTCAGCAGTAACAATTAAATACACATGGCAAAACCCTCTGTGTCTCTTTCTGCTGCTCGTATTACTCCACTAAGACCCACCCACATAACACACAAGAAGGAGCTGGTTGGAAACCTCTTCCCGCGTAGGGCTTGCTCTCCACAGCGAGTTTCTCACAAAGACCCCGGCCCCACTCGCATTGACTCGTCTTCTCAAAGACCCCCTTCAACGCTTCACCCCAGTGTTCAAAGGCACCTGCGACAACATCTTAACAGTAGGAAGAGAGGCTAATACACAACTGTGGCCACCTCATAAGTTATTCCCCACTGTTTGTCATCATGCCTCTTTGCCACTCGTCGATACGATCACCATGTTATCAAAGAACCCGAAGCATCGTGTGGAGCCATGATCACACATGTGTTTTGTGCTATACATTATTTGTTGTTGACAAAGGATGGATGGGAAGTTCTTTCATTGCTGGTGGTTGTTTCTCAGCCACTGTGTTTGCAAAACGTCTGCATCTGCACACTGAAGATATTGAGCTTGAATAAGTGACAGCATGCGCGAGATGTGGGGGCAGATCAGTGTGTGCACGAGCAGTGATTGACACAGCTTAGAGACTGGCTCTGACTTGTTTTGACCAGAGAGCAGTGGATTCTTACTAATGTCATTAGGAGCAGTAGGAGGCGCCAGAGGAACCTGATTATTTGTCTCATGTACTACTGTTAGGATAAAGCGACAGTTTTAGCAAATATTATAAAAAGCTTTTTTTAAAAGAATTCTGTACTTCAGCTTTAAACCAATCTTAAAGAAATCAAATGGGAACAGAAAACACACAGTGATATTAGAAGAATTATACAAGGTTCAAAATTGACTCCCTGAAGTTTACTGTTTTAGTCATGGATTCAATGTTCATAAAATGAACACATTGAACACAATCATAGATTTAATTTGTGTTACCATATTTCTAAGCACTATACATAGTCATAGTTGGTCAAGATTTCTGTCGAAAAATATAATCATGTTGAGTGTTGGTGTGTCCTCTACTCTCTCTAATACTGCTGGTGAAGTGTGTCTACACTTTCACTAAGCAACTTCAAAAATGTGCAAAAAAACCTTCTGCACACTCAGGAAACACACAAAGAGGCTAAAGTAAAAGATGCATCATAAGACTTAGTTCAGCCACATATAGTAACATGCACAAGTCAAGCTTTTCTATAAGATTCTGCAGCCTATTCAAATCACACTAAATAGAGAAACACCAAAACCTTGTAAAGGTCTGTTAAAGATATTATTTTATGACCAATCTGTGCTATTATTACCTCATAAAAATGATTTTTTAATTGAAAAAGTAAGTGATGTGAATAAAAGCCACACCACAGTGCCTTATAACAGCTTCATCTAGAGCTTTCCTTCACAGCCCTCAAGGGCTACTCATAATGATTTAGCCATGAATAGGTGGGTCCCCTCAAATTGATCGTCTGTTACTTCGTTTGAATTCACTGACACGCAGTCAGCAATGTGTCAGTCTGCCTGAGCATGACTTGACGGCAGCACTTTTAATGCTCTATTCAGCACTCTAAATTAGCATTCAAAGTTGAATTCCCTTTCTGCCAGTGGACTGTTACATAATCACACAACTTCATGTAGCCAACATTTCAAAGGCAATATCTTGACAACTCTCTCAAAGAAGAGGTAATTTCACAAATTTGTACAATCAAAGAGCAATACGAAGTGAGCATGTAGTACCGCAATGAGTGAATGAATGCTTATACAATCACAATATAGGCTGTCACGTGATGGGAGAATGTCTGCACTGCTTTTTCTTTGTCTAATCACATAGGTGACATCATCAGTTAATGTTTTCCAACCAGATTTTCAATAAATTCTTTGTGGCAGTTTTGCCGAAGTCTTCCTTTTGGGAACTTTGCAATTTCTCAACCTTGCAAAGATACAAGTTCTCATCTGGCAGGACAGGACTCACCGCTCATACTATTACATGCTGATTCAGCCTCCACTCCTGTTCCATGACTTCGCTTTATAAGAGGTACACGTTGCTCTTATTTCTGAAATCTGGAGCAAACATTCAAGCCAGGAGAGCTGCGAGAGACTTTTCAGATTTGCAGCAGATGTACCAAAATGCCCCCCTTTTCATTCTGGCATCGCTCTCTGCTGCTATCTCCATATCAATTCATTTTTAGTGAATCCTCCTCATGGCTCCGTCACTGCCAATTATTATATAAAACTTTATACGCCAGCCATATGTACTTGGGCCCTTTTGCCCCAGATTAGGCATGCCAGCAGATGGAACCTGTGACATGATTCAGTGCTTTACTTCACAGCTCCAAGACTGGTTTAATGACCTATCAAAGGAAGTTAAGAGGAGATAAATGGCATTGCAGCTGCATAGGAGGAAAATGGGAGTGTAGGTGATTATTGCTTTACGGTGTTCAAGTAACTCTTGTGGGAGGGTGGGCACATTACATTTGTCTGTGTGGATGTGTCTGTAATCTATAGAAAATACAGGACACATAAACAGAGAGCCATAAGTAAATACTTAATTCATTAGAAATATTTACTGTAAATGGCACTGAAAGCTTTATGTATTTGCTGAAGAATGTCACGGGGGAGCCTTATACTGCATATACTGTACCAGCAACACTTTGGCATTTTGAACAAAGCGTTTGCTTGATGAGAGAGGAGTTCTTTGGGTTTTTTTTAATCTTTGAAGAATCAGCTAAAGTCGGTTAATCCCCCAGTGCCCTCATTGAGACCACTATGTTATCTGATTCCTTTCCAGTGTTTATCTCAGTGCATTTTAATCAACTAAACGTGAACATTGGTTGCTATATATACATTCTTATTATGCATTATTCTATTTGTTATTATTCAAACAGCCAACCCCCCCATCTCATATAGATCAGAATAAGAATTTGTTTCACCAGAGATCATTTGCTCTAATGAATGCCTGTGCGTGTGTAACATGTGCATGCTTTTAGCTTAGACTAGGGCTGTGCACAGTAATGCGTTATTCTCGCGTTAATGTATTAATTAATGCAATTATTTTATCACATCAGTCTTTCTTCCAATGATTTGTGCTCCGCGTCGCGTACAAAAAGTTCAAGACAATTTTTCTTCGGCAGCGGGCGGGCGTGTGAGAATGCGTTCGTGCATGACATGACCACTTCACCTCACTCAAACAGGGACACTTTATACTTAACATAGACTGTTTATGCTGCTTTTGTGTATGTAGCAGTACATTTTAATTAAAAGTGTGCAATACCCTACTTTATAATTCATCATTCAATTTTGCGCATAACTGCGATAATAATAATCGCGATTAAATTTTAATCGTTGTCCAGCACTATTTTAGACCCTAATCAAGGAAAAGCCTGAAGAAAAGCAATGTTTGTAGCACATCGATTGTAAAGAAATGTACTGTTTTTCTTTTTAAACACTGAGTCATAACTCTATATCTGGCTCACTTGTTACAAAGCAAACGCAAGATAAATATTAAAATGTGCAAGAAGGGAGCTCAGAGGGAAGTCAAGGTGAGTCTGTCAACACCTGAGCAATAAGCCCAGT